CACATTATATCCTCCAAAGGAGAAGAGAGAGATATGCCCTAAAAGAAATGCTTAGATAAAAATAGCTACAGCACTTCTTTACACCAGTTCCTCCTCTCGTTCGTCCTTGGTGCCCTCCAGAGACAGGCTTCGCCGGAGCAGCGGCTAGGCCCCTGAGAGAGGCTAGCTCGCTAGAGTAGTTATGGTGGTGGTCTAATGTCACTGGAGAGCTTTGTTCTGGGAGTTTTTCTTCCTCTTACTCTTCATTTCTTATATTTTAAGGGCTTGTACTTAATGAATATTTTTAGGATGATGCTAGCCTCACCATAAATTTTTTTTTATTTGTGTTGGAAATGCTTGGATGATATTTTATTTTATTGTTAATGAATGATTAAGTATGTTTTCGTTAAATGTTGTTTTGTTCACTGTGTTAATCTTTTTCCTTGACATTGTAAGAGCTTTTGAAAGATTGTCTGGTGCCTTGGCAAAATATTCCTAGTCTTTGTAAGAGCTTTCAAAAGATATCCATTTTTCTAGGAGTTGATACCTACTAGCGAGATAGTTAGGTTAGATCTATGTGAACAAGAGAACTGATCCAAAATGGTGAGGTTCGAATCCGCCTTAGAAATAAGGAGAGGATTTCATGTGACTAAGGAGGATAAATGCTTGAGTAGATAGGCTAGCGCTACTATTTACGCTGAGGAGTATTGTCGTAGCAACATTTTGACAAACCAAGGGCTGGAGTTTACGCTGAGTAGTATTATCGTAGCAATAGTTTATTAGGTTCAATGTTAGAGATACTCTTGGAACACTTCAGTAAATCCTGTCGGGAAGTATAATCATAGCATACTAGATCGCCCTAGACATAGATTAATTTCTCGCCGTAGCAAATCTAACCCAAATGCTCCGTTAGAAGTCTGATTGCGTGAGGTTTTCAGTCTATATTCAGAACTCAAATATTTTTATCCTTAGAACCTTTTATTTGTTTACTATTGCATATTTTTCTTACCTCGACAAAACTTTTATGCTCACTTCACTTCACACTTTTCTTGCCTCGATATACTTTTTCCATCTGTTCATACAATTTGCTACTGCTTAGTTTTCCTTTATGAATACCATTAGACAAGAAACTTAGGATTAGTTAGTGACACCTAGTTCTAGCCGTAGCAATCTTTAAAGATTCCCCCCAATCCCTGTGGAGACGATAACTCACTTACTACTATATATTACTTGCATCGATTGTGTATACTTGCACAGATTTGTGTGTCACAACACACATATTTACACATGATCAGGGTCTAAATAAAAAAGAGATTTCATTTTTAGTAAAAAAAATAAGAATTGAAGTTAGATAGGTATTTTATGATAGTATATGAACATGTGGCTCAAATTGGGTGAAAAACGAACTTAAAATGCACGATGAATTGAAGAAATAAGGAAATTATGAAAAATTGAGTGGTTAAATTGAAAAATAGAAAACTTGTTATCAAAAAGAGAAATTGAAAGTACATATGTATTCTACAATGGTTTAGGAGCATACAGTTCAAATTTCGTAAAAAATGACTTAAAATGAAGGAGAAATTGAAGGAATAATGAAATCAAAGACTAAATCGTAAAACTGTCAAAATACTTAGTCAAATTTTTCGATTTTTTGAGTAACTCAAAGTTTCGACTCGAACTCGAAAATCGAATTGATAATTCGAGTTGACTCAATAACTCGAAATTGAAAAAATTGATTTTTCGAGTCGAGTTTTGCTCACCCCTAATCACATGTCATTTCTAGCCATCGTCTCTGTCACTACCCACCCATTGACTGACCATTGTTTTTATCGTCATTCCAACCTTCTAAATACACAAACACCCAAATCTCTAACCTTAGTTTAATGGGTAGAGATCTTAAATCTCTAACCTTAAATTTAATAGGTAGGGTTTTAATTGGGTATTAATAAGGGAGGAGGAAAGGGGAGACTGGGGCCTGGGAGAGGGGTTTGCTCAGGGAGGGATACGACAGGGAGAATAGGGTGATTTTTAAAAAAAATTGTTTTTTAATAATATTTTTTATTTTTATTAAAAAATAAAAAATTCAAATAAATATAAACGTGCCACATGTCATTTAATAGATTTTTTTAACGGTGTTACGATGTATGCACTTAAAAGTTAACATTAGAAATGTTAGTCATCTAAAAGTGTTACGGCAAAAACGTTAAATACTATTTTTTAACAAAAAATTCTTTCAACACCTAAAGTTTACACTAAGCCGTTATTCTAATTTCATCACAAAAATTTGTTCTGATGAATCTGCATGTATCAACACTTAAAAAACACATTTAATAAGCTCTGTTTTCACAAGAGGAAGCTTAGGTAACAGTAAATACTAAACTGCCTCTGCAAATTTTGCTTTAATTTCCATTTGTTATAAAGCAAAGAATCTTCAATGCTTTAACCTCCCCCAAATATATTCAAAGCCGTCTCTTCCTCCTATTCATGTTTCCTTATCTTTAAAAATAAATACTCCCCTCAACTCTTGAATAACCTCAATGATAAAAAAAAATTATTTTTATTAGAGATCTTAAATTCGAATAACCGTGTCTATAGAGTATATATTGCCAATAGGTTAAGAGATTTGTACATACCCTTACTCTTTGTTGTATGACAATTTATAATGTCTTGGAGAGGTGCCGATTGGACGATGTCGTGGTGTAGGTGTTGATTGGACGTCTTAAGAAGTGATAATTTAGAGTAGTTTGTCATTAAAAGAGATTATATATATCAACACATGGTCGCTGCTAACAATATGTGAAAGTGTTTACAGGATAATAAATAATAGACACGTAGTCGTTGTTGGTAGTTCGCGAGATACATTTCGCATATCTAGAGATGCATACGAGTCTTATGTTCGATTCTTAAAATTCGTACAAATTGTATGTTCGCAGGCGGTAACAAAGCCTATAAGATAAATTGATAATTTTTGCTACTTTAATTACTATATTTTATCATGAATACAGACCATGTCAAAACTACCAATAGATAAAGTGTACAGTTTAAGTTTCAGTGCTGTGATCTCTCTAATTAGCACCCATTTAAAACACTAATGAACCAACTAGTGCCGTGCACCCACAGAAATAGAAAGCTTGGAAATGTTTAAAATTTGGATGAATTACATATTTAGTAACTAAACTTTACTCTTTCTCTTATTTTACTCATTATATTTTAAATTTTTTTCAATTTAATAATTAAACTTTATACATTAGACTTTTTTTTTTGTTACACGATATGGCATCCTCCACCATCCATTTATATCTTTCGCACCCATTTGTCTTGATTTCCATCACCCATTTCCTGCTCACCAACCTAGCACCCATCCTCACTCATTTCGGCTTCAACGACAATGATCGTTATTCTTTACCAAACTTCACTCCTCCAGTACGTAAACCTGCACTTCACTCTGTATGTACATCACCAAAACCCTTCAAGACCATGGTCGTGAACATGGACACGGTGGTCTGAAAAAAGAGTTTGAAGCAAATGTTTGTTTCTTTCTTTCATTTATGCAGGGTCTAAATTACAGCTTCTGTTTTCAGTTCTGTCATATTGCTATATGTAGTGCTATCAAATCTTCAATTCAATAAAAAATGTCAAAAGAGTCGAATATCAGTCCTTGCACATCTAATATAGTAGTAGTTGAGTAAATTTGTCTCTTTTCTACAATCGAACAAGCATGAAACTTCTCCAAGAGAAGTCTCTCAAACTCTTGCACATGATGCTTTATATATGATACGCATAAACCTATTTGGATGGGCTTTTCCTAGCAGCTCAATGTAAACAGGTATGCTTTCCTTGTGTAGATTCCATGGTACCCTTGGAGGGTAGTATTGCAATACTTCTTCCAAGTTTTCAAACTAGAAATTCTAAATATTAATTGATTAGAAAAAAGGGTCAACTTGCAGTGATAATAATATCCATGAAAAGATAATAACAACTCTTGCATATTGTGTTGTATAATCATAAAATCAACATAATCTCTAAGGTGCAGTTTTATCCAGCTAGGCATTTAATGATTCAGTTAACATACAATGAAAGTCTTGAAAGAGATGCAACAAAGCTTACATTTCTGGCCTAAAAATGGTGTCTGTTCTAAACTCCTTCCTCCCATTTAAGCATTTCTTCCCAATCTGGATTGTTTTATCAATGTTAAACTCTCTAGCTTTCAAGAATCAATAAATTGAATGTCGCATCAGCATATACAGTGTGATGCATTAAACAAATATTTGGAATTGAAAGCACTAACTGACCTTAACAAAGTATGATAATCATCATGCCTATGGGGCAACAAATCCTTGTGAAAGGGTTTTTGATGTAATTCAATGACAGAACTCTCATTTTTTGCATCCCCAACATCTTCAATGCATACAGAAGGCAACCTGTAATCTGTTTTCTTGTTCCTTTTTTTCTTAAGAGAATGAGTAAGCTTGTTGGATGCATTTATAGGCTTCGAAATCCAGGGTCTGAAGCAAATGCTTGCAACATTCAACACCAATAACAGTGGCACGATCACCTATGAGAAACTTAAGACTGGATTAGCTCGACTTGGTTCAAAGCTTACAGAGACAGATAAGAAAAGGAGTCGAAAGTAGAGTGGGAGATGGAGAGGTAAGAGAGCGAAGAAGAAGATGAGATCCAGAGAGATAATAACCCTTTTTTTCACCTCTACGGACTAAAAAATCTTTTAATCCAGCCACGTCGTAACTCTATTAGAAAGTTACAACAGAGTGACAAAAAAAACTCAATGTATAAAACTTAATTATTAAATTAAAAAAATAATGTACAATAAATAAAATAAGAGAGTAAAATTCAGTTTCAAAATTTGTAATTTACCCTTAAAATTTTAACGATAGCATCAAATCGTAAATGCATTTACATGACCCAATCCTGAAGCATGAGACTGTCTCACTTTCATATGATCTATTGGTATTGATATACTGTAATTACATATTGGATACATTACTAGTTATGCATTACCTAAACCCAGCAACTGCTGCCGTCTCCTTTGCTGAGTTATGGTTCAATTGCAGTTTTTTTATTGAGGTCGTTTCTGCGGCACTTGCACTCATCAAAACACGCTTGCTGGTATCATAGAAGCTTGTTGATGGTATTTTAAGATGATAAAGAGTAGGCTGATAGGAGTGCCCTTGAGGAACATAACAATCTTTCAAACAAAACGAGTAATCACTTTACTAATCCAAGTACAACACTTACAGGTTTAAACATTAAAAAGCATTTTGTGAAAAGAAAAATTTTATAGGATTGAATGGGACTAGAGTATTCACAAAACAGTTCTGGTTTAGGTCTCATTCTCGCCGAGATGAATTACCCAACAAGCTGTTCGTTGAAGGTGAGCTTTGTACACTTGACCAATGATCTTGTACTGATATAGGAGATCTATTTTTTACTTCATCTAACGAAGTAGTTAAACACTCTCCTTCCCTTTGCTTCACAATCACCACTCTCCGACTTCCTATGTCAGACTTCTTCGTTGACTTACTAAAAGATTTCTCACTTTCCTCATCCGAGGAAGAAGCTGTTGGTGATTCAATGCACATGCCCGGAACCCAAGCGCTGAGCCTGATTTGTTCCAGCTCTTCGGCAACTTCGCTCATGGTGGGCCTCATGTCCCGATGAGAAGCAAGGCATCTAAATGCTAGCTCAGCCACATTATGAATTGATGAAAGTGTCCAAGCATCCCTATGTGGATCGAGGTACGGATCAATTATCTCATCCACGCAGCCTCTTCCTATCCTATCATTAGCAAGTGCAGCCAAGTTTACCTCACTATGACCACGCGAGAAGTCGACCACTTTCAATGCAGTTATTATCTCCACAAGAACAACCCCAAAACTGTATACGTCACTTTTATCCGAAAGATGGAAGTATTGGTGGTATTGTGGATCAAGATACCCTGGAGTTCCTTGAGGGGCAGTGGAGATATGGGATGATTCCGTCATCCCAAGCCTGGAAAGACCAAAATCAGCCACCTTGGATCTGTAGTTGTAATCCAAGAGAATATTGCTAGATTTTATATCTCGGTGAAAAATAGGCGGATTCACCGAGTGAAGATAGGCAATAGCCTTGGCAGTTTCAGCAGCTATGGTGAGCCTTATGGTCCATGGAAGTCCTTGGCCCCTCTCTCTTTGTAGATGCTGAGATAAGGTTCCATTAGGCATAAACTCATATACCAGGATAGGTTCACCATCCTCTATGCAGCAACCTATGAGGCGGACAAGATTCGGGTGACTGACAGAGGAGAGGAGCTTAATTTCATTCATTACTTGGTCAATACTATCAGGATCTCTATATCTGAACCTTTTTATGGCAACCCAGTCATCATTCTGGAGTTTTCCTGCATAAACTGTACCATAGGCTCCAGTCCCCAGTCTCTGTGTATCACTGAAGCCATTAGTAGCTCTTTCAATATCTCTATAGGCATAGCAAGGAACACTCGAGTTGCCTGCAGCTTCTGACAGAAGACGCTTTGCACTCATTTGTTTGTTGATGGAATTAGAACGTTGTCGCAAATAGAAACATACAAGAGCCACAGCACCTACTAGTAAAACTCCACCAGCAAGCCCTAACAATAAAACAGCATGGTTCATCCGTTACTTAAAGAAAATACAGATGCTATAGCAAGGATGATGAAAACAACACTCCAAAACAACTATTATAATTTGCTTCCCAGTTACCTCCAACCAGAACACCGACTCTTGCAGGTCCCCAGCATTTGCCAGAACTGTATTTTGAAGCCTTGCAGTGAGACACTGAAAAATGAACCATCAGGAAAAGGAAGCGGTGTTAGTGAATTTATTCAATTACAAAATTACAAGTTATAGAATTAAATACCATCAGAACAAAATACAATGCTTTCAAGACATTTCACATGCTAGTAGCAAATTCGTATTCAACTCTCATGACAATATAATTTGATAAAAAATTTAGCTTTGTATGTGTCACGATCTTTCTCAACATAAATTCATTGTCAAAAACTATAGGCGTAGAACTGATAAATATGCAAATGTCAACCTTACAGCAGACAAGTAGATTTCCTTTCAGCAGAAACACTGTTCCAATCAGAATCAAGGTGGTTCTTAATAAATGTAACTGAAAGATTTAACCCTGTATTTACAGCTAAAATATGTCCACAAAAATAGTGCAAAATTGATAGGAAGATCCTTCTAGCGGGTTGGTATACCAAAGGAGATGTTAAGTTTCAGCCATACTTCTTAAATCATTGACCAATATATTTTAGAAGCTATGAATTGTAATTTGTTATATCCAATTCTATCTGCAACATTTTAGTGCATTCTACTTTTATGCATGCCTCAAGGGAGAAAAGTCAAACATATAACAGTATATTGTGCCCAAGAATGGATAACTCCTTCAGTTTGCCAAGTCAACTACGCTTTGTTCTTTGTTGACATTGACCATGCAACTTCATTCTTGCCTTTCTTGAAGATGGCACCTTTATAAAAGATGCTTAGATATGGATTGTGAACAACTCAAAAGAGATGGGAAAACAGTTCAATTCAATGACTTTCACTGCCAAATTTAACCACTATTGTGGCCTATTGTTCATGACTAGTGAAATGCTTCCTTTTTGGTGCAATTCAACCACTAAATAAGAAATGAACAAACGAAAATTACTTTACAACCAAACCCCCCGTACCCCACTTTGAAGATGCAACTGACATGCAAAAACTCCTCATGTTGGTTCATTTAACACTAAAAGTTGATAAGCTAAAAATCCAAAAACATCAAACTAAAGGATGGATCGAAAGAGTGTTGGGTGTGATCGTACACCCGGACATTTCAAATTCTCATATAATTTATGTATTTTTTTTATCGATGATCTACTTTTGCAACGCTTGAATTTCTAATAAAACTACCTAAGTTCGTAACCCTAACGTAAAACGTCCGTCATCAAATTGTATTTGATTTCACTACAATCCTAGCAGTTCTACATTCATGGTCCGTATACACCATTTTTTTTTTCAATCTAGTTAAAGTTGAAATGCTGAAGCTACCATTTCTAAGAGATACTAGTCAATAATCCCATAATAATTTCCGTCTAAAATAATCTAAAATCCAAGTCAAACAAGCAAAAAGAAAGCAATTCATTTAAACCAGTCATGAACACGAGGGAAATAAACAAAACAAATAAAATAAGTAAAAACAAAATATTTGACTAGAAAGCGTTGACAAACCTCTCCGGCAACCGCCGCCATCTTTGAATCCATCTCCTTCAAACCCTTCGTTGCAAAGGCACCTGCACCCCACCGTATTGTTACCATTCTTAACATCCGTTCTGTTAGCATTCGGATCGCAATTACAGTCTTTAACCCACCATTCCAAGTTAACACGTTCCAAATCCAAAGAAACCGCTGAGTTCCTTGCAGAGTCAACAACAATGGAAGCGGAGGAAAACAAGAATCGGCACTGCGTGTTATTGACTTCCTCAAAACTCAACAGCCGACGAACGTCGCTTCCACCGCCGCTAAAACAGCTTATGTTATCACTCCTGGCAACGCACGGGTTAACTCTAAATGATCTTTCTAAAAACATTGGCCTTATTTCACAAGGAGATGGTAAGGGCTCGGAACAGTTTTGGAGCAGAAGACTGTTATCCACGGAAAGCGCGTAGTTTCCATCAAAGAGAACGGAGATTGAAGCAAGCGGTCGGTTGCATTTGGCGGGAAGGTCGATGATGATGGCCTCGGAAGTTATGTTGAGGACACCGAATTCTCCAATCCGGACACCAGTTGGGGTACAGTTGAATTGGATGGGGCATCCCGGTGAGAATCCGAATGGAAAGGGTAGTGGTGTCGAGAAATTACTGGTCACGCAGGAGCCTTGGCACTTGTTATTCTCCGAGTTAACTGAGTTCGCTAAGCAGATAACTAAAAGAAATGTTATGGCTATTGAGAAGGGTAATTTTGCATGGAACGGTACCATATTCGATTCTCAAAGAACAGAACAGAGCAATATCAGCTTCCTGTAAAAGAAGCTTGAATAAGAGAAAGGAAGCAAAAAGTAAATAAAAAAAGAGAGAGGAGCAATTGAGGGGAGTTAAAGCAGAGCAATTGAGGGGAGTTAAAGCAGAGCAATTGAGGGCGTTGGGAAGCCCATCTAATCTCAATAAATGCTAATACAAATAAAGGTCAATGCATTGTAAGATGGGGAAATGTCTTTTTCTTTCAACAAAAAAGAAAATGGGGTTGGTTCAGTTGAGAATATTTATGAGCTTACCTCTAAAGTTCTGTGTTCTTCAATGGCTGCAACAATCGACTCTTCTTTATTTCAAGAACTGAGCTTCAAATGCAAAAACTGAACCACTTAACGCTTCTTTACAAATTGTTTTGATTCTGGGTTTTTTTTTTTTTGTTTCCATTTCTAATCAAACAAAAATGAAGAGGATTCTGGAGAAGAAGATGAAATGGAAGATGAGAAAATTGAATGATTTTAAAGACGGAGTAGGTGAACTCCATTGCATTGACATTGACAACTAGAAGAATAGTTATATTTTAGGAGGAAATATAAGTGTTGCTACTTTACAAATATGGTAACTTAATTTTACACTCTCTCTTATTTTAATCACTACACTTTACATATTTTCACTTTTATCACTAAATTTATACATTGAGATTTTTTTTACACTCAACCGTTTTCTCTAGCATTATAAATGAGTTGTTATATAAATATGAAATGACGTAATTTTTGAAAAAAAAATTATTTTTTTAAATGACATCATTTTAATGCCGTTAATTATTTAACGGTAGAGTGACAAAAAATCTAATGTATTAAGTTTAGCAATGAAATTGAAAATTTTTAAAGTTAAGTGATTGAAATAGAAGAGAGTAAAATTAAGTGATGAAATCTTTAATTTACCCTATAACTGTTCTACCCTTTGAATTGGGAAAGTGATTAGACGGAAATACCCTGAGAAAAGTGGGTCAAATTGCGGATATAGGCCGAACTAGATATTATATTGTGGGTCAGCACCGCACTAAATAAAAAAAAATGGCTCTTCTTAGTTTTGACTAACTAGAAATTTGTTTATTTTTAATAAAATGCGTGAATGAATCATCATTAGTCTAATCAAGTTAAATACAATTATAAAATTAATGAATGTATTGGAAATTAGTTTATTTACTTAAATATCACCTAGAAAATAATTAATCACTTTTATGATGCTTATTAGAGATATTTTTAAAATGATATTTATTTAATCAAAGTGATTTTTAGAAATCGTTTATCGTGTATATGACAAGTGTACATTTTATAAAAAGCGTCTTTTATTAATCTGACAGTCTTTGTGTAAAGCGTTTCTTGTAATAAAGATTTCTTATATTAAACATCTTTTACAATTAAAACCGCTTCGATTTTATAAATAGATTAATTGTTTTTAACTCCTTTAAGTATGTAGAAGAAGAACTCTTTTAATGCAATGTGAGTATATTATGGTTATGTATTAGGGTTATGTGAAATATTATACTTAATCAATAACAATTGTTACAACAAATGTATCTTCCCTGCGTGCGATTTAAATATTACTCAATTGAAAATTATTTTTAAATTTATTATTCAAGGATCAAATATTTCCTAAATATTACCAATATATTAAATTATGATATATAAGTTTAGAGTTCATGATTGTTAAATGATTAAAGAATAATTTTGTCCATAATATAAAACCGTTTCTTAGAAATTAAAAAAAAACGCAGTGCATAACTCTTCTTCGAAATATAAACATTGATCACAAGTAAATGATTATATAAAATAATCTATTACTTGGAACCCTCAAGAAAAAAAACTTACATTTAATTACCTCTACTAATAACAAAAGCTGATAGAGATTATATACATATCACCATGGGTCAACAGATCAAGTTGACATCTTATGTAACACCTCGATCCGTACTCGACCCGAATACGAATCTGATGTGTCACATTGACTTTTAAACTCTTTGACTCTTTGAGAATTTAACTAAAATTTGACTTTTATTGTAAAAAATGAAAATATATTTACAAAACATATCAGAGCATCTACAATTTAAAACATTATTAGTACATGCCAACAACATTTCAAATCAAAACTTATACAATTCAAATTATTCTTTGATCTAATAATTCTCACTAGTACGTTGTCCTGCCCTTGCTTATTCAACTTACTCCTCGATGCTCGTGGATCCTACGTGTGAAAACAATCACACGCTAAATCTATGACTTAGTAATGTCTTATGAGCTATATAAAATCATAAAACATTTATTTAAAACATTTCATAGAAAAATATTTAATATGAAAATCAATTCACGTTTCATATAAATGTCATATACTTTTAGACCCTGTTCAATCCAAATACATTTGCATTTTAAAAAATACATATACAATTATACACTTTTCATTCTATATCAATTTGTTTAATTCATATTAATTGGTTTATTTAGCCCATCGTATACTATTGAGAAATCAAGGTATGTGAGCACAAAGAGGTTGTGCACTAATGCAGTCACCACTACTCATATAAATTGCATCGAAGTGTCATGTAGAATTTGGCCCGAAAGACCGCGTAGAATTTGTCACGAACGACCACTTAGATTTTTCCCGAAAGACCACGTAGAATTGACCCGAATGACCACATAGATTTGTCTCGAATGACTACGTAGAACCCTCGACTCTTGGCATGCCAACTATACCCCTAATTCTCATAAATATACTTTGGGTTTTTTCCATATAATTATCTTTCATTTCATTATTCAAAGTGTGTCTTATTCATGTAGAGCACATTCACATAGGTATTTTCACGTGGAACATTTTCACTTAAATTTCATATAACATATCATATATCATTTCAGTATAAAAACCTTTACATAGTATATCAAATAGTATTAAATTTAAATCCATATGTCAATTCATGTTAAATTTCATAAACAAAAATATATCAAAATATCAGAAAAGATCATATCATAATTCAAATCATTTACATTAACAAACTTTCAAGATTTGACCCTTCACAAACCAAATTATTCACAATTTATTTATCAAAGCATGATAAAAGTGTTTCACAGTAAAATTCAAATCATTTTCCTTCAAAACATTTGAGATTGGCTCATCGCGAGTCTTCCCCCTATTATATTTAAAAGTATAGTAAAATGCACTCACCTTTGCCTCAGATAAGTCCTAAGCAATTCCTTTTAACTTTTGGTCAATCTCTTTCCTATATCATTTCGATCAGTACTCTTTCGATCCAAATCTACACATCAATATGTCCAAGATCAATACAAACTTTCTATTAACAAATAATCACTTAGTACTTACATCATCGAAACGAAACACTTAATTTAATATTTCAGACTGAATAGTATCGGTACTCCTCCTACAGTGCCGATACTTCTCTTCTAGGTATCGATACCCTCTTTAGTATCGATATCATTTCAGCATTATGGAATTCCATTTTCGATTACGGAATCGATACCTTCTTTTTGGTATCGATAACTCCACATCAGTATCGATACTCTTTAAATCAGTATCGATATTGATTATCCAATCCATCTATTTTTCCAGCAATTTACCCTTATAGTATCGGTATTGTCCTTTCAATACCGATACTCTTACCCAGATTTCACATAATCCATTTTGAATTTTACTCCAAACTCACTTAAATATCTTATCCTTAGCTTTATTCAAGACCTAAAACTCCATAACACTTATTCCACACAACTTATGTCCATTTATCTTCTTAAACTCTAAATTCTCCTTAGAACACTTAGAACATAAAATCACACCAATTATTCAAACATGTTCCTAATCTTTTCTAATACTTCTAACTTCTTAATTAGACCCTTGCCAATTCAAATTTATCATTAGAAATCCAAATACTAAACCATATCATCAAATCCCTTAAAACCCCATTTTACTAATCCATTAATATAATTCACTAATCTCTTAGTTTCTCTTCAACTTTTAGCTTCTTTAATCTTATATGACACTCAAAACTTCAAAACTAACCCACAATTTAAAGAAATAACCAACTTGAAAGAAACTTACCTTAGGAAATGAAGGTTCACGACTAGAGAAATAAGAAGAGAAGATAACCCAGAATTCCAGATTTTTCCTTCTCGTCCCTTATTCCACATGTTTTATATCCCTTAAAAAAGAATATAAAATTCATTTCCTTTAAAAAGACCATAATTTCCTTCTAATAACCCATCTTTGATATCAAGTCCTAAACAAAATTTCCAAAATTAGTCCTTAAACTTTTCAATTTATTCAATTTAAACCACCAAATTTTAACTCCTTACATTTCAATCACTAACCTGATGTTTGGGGTGTTACAAATCTCCCCCTTAAGAAAATTTATCCTCGAATTTTCACTGTACAAAGAGATGAGCTTAACAACGTAACTAAAACTTTTTCTTCTTATACAAACACACATCCTATAATTATAATGCACATTGATATGACTAACATAATCTTTTCCAAATTCTAATCATACAAACTTGGAATTTATGTCAATATACTTTGTAACCTCTTAACATTTCTTGACACTTACCCATCCAATTAAGTAATATGTATGTCCTCAATAACTTAGTCAGAGAAAATACAATCATTTACTATATTATTATCAATCCTTGTAATTTTATTCAACTATATCTCAAGTTTCATTAATATACATAACATTATCCTCTTAGCTGAGTCACATGGCCAAGGAATATAACCTTAGAAAATCCACACTTATGTTTGGTCAATTTAGCATACAAATTTTCTCCTGGTCCTTTAAACTCGATCACACATGCCTTAACATAACTTTTAAAATATGAATATCTTGATCGGACCAACCATCTATCTGAGGATGGAAATTAATACTAAATTTAAATCGAGTTTTGAAGGTCTTGCTCAAATAATTTCAAAACCTTGAAGTAAACCTTATGTCTCATCAGACACAATTAAAATTGGCACTCCATGAAGTCTACTATCTCCTTGATGTATAGTTCCGCATACTTATCCATTGAAAAATCCTTTCAAACAAGAA